AGATTTCACTTAGCAGAATGTCTTCAAGGTCCATCCATGTTGTTGCAAATGGCAAGATTTCCTTTTTTTATGGCTGAATAATATTCCATTGTATATATACAACACATCTTCTTTATCCATTCATCCATCAGTGGACACTCAGGTTGCTTCCATACCTTGACTTTATAAGTAATGCTGCAATGAACATGGGGGTGCAGCTATCTTTTTGAGGTAGTGTTTTCATTTCCTTAGGATAAATATTCAAAGTGGAATTGCTGGATCATATGGTAGTTCTATTTTTAATTTTTTTGAGGAACCTCTAAATTGTTTTCCATAGTGGCTGCACCAACTTATGTTCCCACCAACAGTGCACCAGAGTTCCCTTTTCTCCACCTCCTCGCCAATCTTAGGTATTTCTCATGTTTTTTATAATAGCCATTCTAACAGGTGTGAAGTGATATCTTATTGTGGTTTTTATTTGCATTTCCCTGATGATTAGTGATGTTGAGCACCTTTTCATGTATCTCTTGGCCATTTGAATGTCTTCTTTTTATATTGCCTTTTCATTTTGTTGATTGTTTCTTTTGCTGTCCAGAGCTTTTAAGTTTGATGTAGTCCCATTTGTTGATTTTTGCTTTTGTTGTTTGTGCTTTTGATGTCATATTCAAAATTTCATTGTCAAGACCAACGTCAAGGAGCTTCCTCCCTATGTTTTCTTCTAGGAATTTTAAGGTATCAGGTCTTATGTTTAAATCTTTGATCCATTTTGAGTTAACTTTTGTGAATAGTGTAAGATATGGGTCCAATTTCACTTTTCTGCATGTGTTTATCCAGTTTTCCCAATACCATTTGTTGAAGAGACTATCATTTCCCCATCGGGTGTTCTTGGCTCCTTGTCGAATATTAGTTGACCATTTAGGCAAGAGTTTAATTCTGGGCTCTCTATTCTGTTCCATTAGTCTATGTGTCTATTTTTATGCCAGTACCATACTGTTTTAATTTCTATAGCTTTGTAGTATAGTTTGAAATCAGTAAGTGTGATGCCTCTGGCTTTGTTCTTCTTTCTCCTGATTATTTTGACTATTTGGTGTGTCTTTACAGTTTATTTGTTCAAATCTGGATCTAAAAAAAAAGATCCAAACATTGTACTTGTTAATATGACTTGAAAGTTTCTGAAATACAAGAAGAGATAAATGTTTGATTTCTTCTCTTTATTTACCAATATTCAGAATAATGAGTTGATGACCTAGCAACTTCCAAAGGTGATCAAGAAGGTTCTGTTTACTTGGGCCTTTGTTTTTAGTACCATTTAGTATCATAATATATTTTTAAATATTTGATGTATTTTAACTCATTGCAATTGTTATTCAATTGTGATTCCCAATTTGTTCCAAAGTTTGCCATTGAGATCCCTGCAAATTGGCTCCTGTCCTTCTGACATTCCCTTATTCTTTGAAAACTTCCTTGCTTTCTGGTACAACATCAAGTTCCAGGCTCATTTTGTATATTTCCTGACCAAATCTGGGATCAGCTATTTCTAAAAGAAGCCCTGGTTCCTGTTTTGTGGAGAATGGTATTTAGAAACCATAGTAGGGGCAGTAGGGTTATTCATTGCTACTGGATTATCTTGCTTCTAGTCCAGGTTAGTGAACAGAGCTGGGAATTACATACTCCTGAGGAACTAAACAATAAGTTTAACAGCACCAAAGATACAATCCATGAAATAAATAATTGATAAGCTGGATTCCATTAAAATTAAAAACTTCTGCTCTTCACAAAACATCAAGAGAATGAAATGACAAGCCATTCTGGGATAAAATATTTGCAAAAGACACATCTGACTAAGGACTGTTACCCAAAATAGATAATGAACTCTTAAAACTCAACAATAGGAAAAAAATCTATTTAAAAATGGGCAAAAGAAGGAGTGATGTCAGCGTCATGGTGGAGTGAGCTTTCCCCCCTAGACTCTCCCACACAAGATACAACTAAAAGGACACTCATATACCATCAGAGGACATTCACACAACACAAAAGACATCTGAGAGACCAACGCAGCCTTACATCTGAAGGTAGAGGTGCTGGAACCCCCAAAGGAAGTGGAAGGAGGTAAGGAGAACACCTCTCCTTCCCCAATAACAGTGACCCTGTGACCAGGACCATGAGGGTCTCTGGTGGGCGGGGAGAGGCGGCCCTCTGCAGATAAACAGTCACTCTCCAAGTTATCTCACAGCCCGTGGCAAAGTCCCATACAGAGAGTACTGAACTGTTCTGGGGGTGTCGTCATCAAGCCGGCACCCCAGGAGAGCAGACAGTGAGGGAAGAGCAAGAAGCCCCCGCGATCAGATAGGTGAAAGGAAGATCCCCTACCCCCATCCACTGCTCCAGCACAGCTGGTCGGCCAGAGCACCTGGGGATCACGGCAGGCTCCGAATACATAGCTCTTGACCCCAACCCAGTGGTGGCAGCTGGAAGCTGCAACCAGATCTTTTGAGCATGAGGATAAATAAGCCCAAGCCCTCAAGCAGTATGCAAAAATATATTAATCTCCAGACCAGAAGGAAAATGACAAGCACCCAGAAATCAATCCTGAAGGCACAGAAATTCATAACTTAAATGACAGAGAATTCAAAATAGCTACCATAAAAAAGCTCAATGAACTACAAGAAAATACAGATAGACAATTCAATGAAATCAGGAACTTCTTCACAGAAAAGATTGAAACTATCAAGAAAAACCAATCAGAAATGTTGGAGATGAAAAACACAATGGAGGAAATAAATACAAATCTGGAATCTTTAAAGAACAGAGCTGACAATATGGAGGAAAGAATTAGCAATATTGAGGATAGGAATTCAGAAATGCTGCAGATGGAGGAGCAGAGAGAATTAAGACTAAAAAGAAATGAAGAAATTCTCCAAGAAATATCTGACTCAATTAAGAAGTGCAACATATGGATTATAGGTATACCAGAAAGTGAAGAGAGGGGAAAAAGGAGCAGAGAGCTTGTTCAAAGAACTAAAAGCTGAGAACTTCCCAACCTGGAGAAGGAGCTGGAAATACAAGTGGATGAAATCAAGAGATCTCATAAATATATCAACATGAAAAGACCCTCTCCAAGGCATACAGTAGTGAAGCTGACAAAAGTCAATGATAAAGAAAAAATATTAAGGGCAGCAAGACAATAAAAAAAAAAAAAAACCGTACAAAGGAATTCCTATCAGGCTTTCACCTGATTTCTCAGCAGAAACTTTACAGCTAGAAGAGAGTAGACTGAAATATTCAAAATTCTGAAAGACAAGAACTTTCAGCCAAGAATACTCTATTCAGCGAAAATATCCTTCAGATATAATGCGGAAATAATAACTATCCAAGATAAATAAAAGCTAAGCGAGTTCATTGCCACAAGACCCCACTACAAGAAATGCTCAAGAAGGCCTTCATGTCTGAAAAAAAAAGAGAAAGGGGATACAAAGCTTTGAGCAAGGAGAAAAATAGGTAGACAAGATCAGAAAGAATGCAGCTCTCTATCAGAATAGGTTGGAAAACACTGAATTATAACATCAAAGATTAAGGGAAGGAAAACACCAAAAATAAATATAACCTCATCACTTTAAACACAAATTCACAACACAAGATGGAATAAGTTGTGACAGTAATAACTTAGAAGGGGAAGGGGAAAGGGATGGAATTAACTTAATCTAAGGAAATAAGAGGCCATCAGAAAATGCACTATCTCATCTATGAGATTTTTTATACAAACCTCATGGTAACCACTAAACAATCAGAACAGAGACACATATGATAAATAAAGACAAAACTAAGAACACCATCATACAGAACTACCAAACTGAATTGGTAGTCTGAAACACACAGGACGAGAACAAAGGAAATGCAACAGAACCAGAAAATGAGTGACAAAGTAGCAACTTTAGCCTTCATATATCAATAATCACTCTAAATGTAAACGGATTGAATTCTCCAATCAAAAGACACAGAGTGGCAGGATGGGTTAAAAAACAAGACACGACATTATGCTGCCTCCAGGAAACACATCTCATCTCTAAAGACAAAATACAGGCTTACAATGAAGGGGTGGGAGACAATATTCCAAGCTAATGGCAAAGAAAAGAAAGCAGGTGTTGCCATACTTAGACATAGTAGACTTCAAGATAAAACAGGTAATGAGAGACAAAGAGGGGCAATATATAAAGAGTGGACAGATGCATAGATACGTGACAGAGGAGAGTAGAATCCTGGTAGTGGATATAGCAGTGCTCACTGTAAAATTCTTTCAACTTTTTGGACGTTTAAAAATGTCCACGATACAATGCTGGAAATTTTTAAATTAAAAATTAACTTTAAAAATAAAATTTAACTCTACACTTGAGATCTGTACATTACACTGTATATTAATGATACCTAAAAAGAAAAAGCACCAGAACGGACGAAGAGGTGGGTCAAAAACGAAATAGAAGGAAATACAATAAACCTATTGGATCATACATGTGACTGCCCTGGGTCGAAAACTGTTTTTACACTGCTCAATAACAGGTTCTCTTGAATAGATAAGAACTAACTTCGGCCCAGGCGGCTATGGAAGGCGGGGCTGCTTTCTTCCTGAAAAGAGGCTTGGCTCGCCTCGGACCCCGCTCTCTCCTGCTACCCGGAGGGACCGAGTCAGAAAACGCGCGAGCGGGTCGGCACCCGCCCGCAGCATCACCACCAGCGC